GGCCCAGCTCCACACAGTTACCACTCCAGCCCTGACTGAGCACTCGGGGCCCAGCTCCACACAGTTACCACTCCAGCCCTGACTGAGCACACTCAAGGCCCAGCTCCACACAGTTACCACTACAGCCCTGACTGAGCACACTTAGGGCCCAGCTCCACACAGTTACCACTACAGCCCTGACTGAGCACACTCAGGGCCCAGCTCCACACAGTTACCACTCCAGCCCTGACTGAGCACACTCAAGGCCCAGCTCCACACAGTTACCACTACAGCCCTGACTGAGCACTTTCTAAATATGAAACACTATTTCCATTTCTTTATGTAGTAACTAAATCTTTTCCCCCTTCCTTTTGGCCTTGAACTCTTTATGTAGCTGAGTATGTTCTGGAACCTCTGAACCATCTGTGTGCTGATCTTACAGCTATGCTGGTTGTTTTCTGTCAGCCCAACACAAGCTTGGTTCATCTGGGAAGAGAGAACCTCAGTTGAGATATTGCCTTCATCAGAGTGGCCTGTAGGTGAGTCTGTGGGGGCATTTTCTTGATTAATGATTGATGTGGGAGGGTCCAACCCACTGTGGGTGGTGTCAGTCAGGGCAGGCTGTCCTGTGTTGTGTAAAAATGCAGGCTGAGCAAGCCATGCAGAGCAAGACAGTGAGCAGCATTCCTCTGTTACAGTGGTTTCAGCCTTCCTAATGTTGCGACCCTTTAATGCCGTTCCTCATGGTGTGGTGACTCCCAACCATAAAATTACTTCTGTTGCTACTTCATAACTGTAATTTTGCTACTGTTGTGAATCATAATGTAAATGTCTGAATCGCAGGGTGTTGTGAACTGCTTGAGAACTGCTGGTATACAGCAGCCTCTGTGTCAGTTCCTGCCTCCAGGCCCCTGCCTAGAGTTCCTGCCTGAATTCCCTCAATGATGAACCAGGATCGGCATAAGTCAAGCAAATGCTTTTCCTCCCATGTTGCTCTTGGTTATGGTCTTTAACACAGCAATTGAAAGCAAATTAATGCCAGGTATTAGCCAGCATGGCATGGTTTTGGGGTGCTGGGGACTGAGCCCAGAGCTTCATGCATGGTAGGCAAATATTCTAATAACTGAGCTACACCCTCATCCTCAACTAACTCAATGCTCATCCTCATTTCTGAAATCGGTTTGTGGAAATGGATTGGTCATTAAAATTTTAACACTTGGGTCCTGACTTCCAAGATGACACCCTTACCCCACAAAACAGAAGGAACAGTGGTTATGCTGAAAAGGGCCATGGCCATGTGCTGCCCTATTAGCTGCACAAAGTCATTGCCGACAGGCAGTGGTGGCACACTCATTTAATCCCAGCACTCAGGAGGCAGAGGCAAGTGGATCTCTGTGAGTTCGAGGCCAGCCTAGTCTAAAAGTGAGTTCCAGGACATCCAGGGCTTTTACATAGAGAAATCCTGCCTTGAAAAAAATAAAAATAAAAAAATAAAAAACAAACACCAAAGAAAGAAGAGGAGGAGGAGGGAGAGGAAGAAGAAGGAGGAGAAGGAGAAGAAGAGAAAATTGTTCATTACCACAAATGCTGTAGGGACCTAACACATATTTCCCAAGCTCTACATGAGCTGAGCTACTCACAGTGTTGATCTAGTGGAAGCCAAGAAGTACCAAACATCCCACCCCAATTTAGACCTCCTGATGCTGCTCTCTCTGCTTCCCCACCTATGGATCAGGGTGTAGCTCTCCCCATCATGATGATGATGATAGACTAAACCTCCGAGACAGTAAGCCAGCCCCCAATTAAATGCTTTCTTTTGTAAGAGTTGCCTTGGTTATGGTGTCTTTTCGTAGCAATACACCGATGACTAATTCAGCTATCCATCTCAGTAGCTATGGGGAAGCCATCATCCATACTGGGTGAGATGTCTCAATGCTGGGTTGCCTTGGGGTCCCCCATGCTCTAGGAAGTGACCCTGCCCCATGCTTTGCAAGTAAGCCCAGTAAACTGATAGGTTCTCCAGGTTTGACTTTGGAGTCTACTTTGTTTTGTCCTTGGTGCTCTGTAGAGGCTGGGCATTTATTTGTTTACCTTCCCCCTGGGAAAGAGTTTCACCCACAGAAGTCATGGCAGAAATCCACAAGAGAGTCAGAAGTCCCTAAAACTGGAGTCCTAGCAGTGGATAAAGGAGCCACAGCAGCTTTGTGGCAATGAGAAGAGATGGCCTTGATAGATGAGAGATGCAATCTGGATCCAGGCTCTCCATGACTCATAGATAAACCAGCCGCGAGAGGGGCAATCTAGAGTGAGGTGGGTTGAATGGTGGCCCTCAGAAGATCGGTGTCTCCGCCTCCCCGTACTGGATTACAGGCTTGTGCCGCTCACCCACCTTTTCACACGGCTGCTGGGGGGCACCCCCAGTCCTCGGGCTTGTGCCTGAACAGAGTCTCACTCTGTATCCAAGGCTGGCCTAGAACTCACTGGATAGTCTAGGCTAGCCTTGAACTTATGGTGAACCTTCTGCCTCAGCCTCCCAAATCCTAGGATTACAGGTGTGAGCACCCCAAACCAGCTTTCTCTATGGTTCTCTGAAGAACTAGTAACAATAATATTGAGTCTGATCCATCCTCCCTCGGGGAAAGCTCACTCCTTGAGTCCAGGAAGGAGAATGTTGCTTATTGGTTTCTACTTATGGAAATTCTTGTAGGCTCAGGGAGAAATGGAGCCATGTCTTAGTAACCAGCAGGCAGGAGTCGTCTGTGCCTGTGCCTTATGAATGAAGAGAAGGTGCATTGAGTGATATCTGCTCAAAAGATGACCAGGTGTTGATTCATGTCCACAGGGCATACAGAAGTGCCCCACACACCTTCAAAATATGCACAGTTTATTTGAAAGTGTTTGGCCTCCCTGAAAGGAAGATGAGAGTTAAACTCAATTGCTTTAGATTAAAAGGCTGATTAGGCATGGTGGCCCACACCTTTAATCGTAGCACTCAGGAGGCAGAGGCAGGAGGATCTCTGTAAGTTTGAGACCAGCCTGATCTACGTAGTGAGTTCCAGGCCAGCCAGAACTACATAGTGAGACCCTGTCTCAAAAAACAGTCACACAAACAAGAAGGCATTGGAGCTCAGCTTGACCAAATTGCTCAGATTTGAGAAAAGTCAGTAACATGTCTCTGGACTGTAGTCTGTGTCTCTTCCAAATCCAAAGTCTCCAATAGTTGGCTCTCATCCTTGGAGCAAAGAAAATATGGTGGACATCTGTACATTTGTTTGCTTGTGGCTTGGGTTTAATTATCTACAAAGAAAAAAATTCACAAAATGTTTCATGTTCTTCTCTTTTAACTGCCAAACCAGGAACCTCTGAGGCTTTGACAGAATTTGTCACAATCCTTTGAAAGTTTTATTAATGGAGATGGAGTATGTTTTTAATCTTTTGCAATATGGTTACCCAAATTTATTTTTTTGTGATTCATTTATGCTTGATCCTACCATATTTTAAGTAAACACAGTCAGCACTTTTTACCTTTTAAATACATTGGGCTTTGTTTCTTTAAACACAGTGCTGTGGTGATTAATAAACAAATGAAGTTTTAAATCAGGAGTCCTTTTTGTCTCAGAGAAAGAGAGTCCTTCAAACTCATGGGAGAATAGTATCTACACAGATTCTCATGTAAACCTTAGACAGGCCGCTACAAACATGTTTCTTGCCACTCAGAAAGTGGGTTGTATTGCTGTGTATTTGTGGATGTAGAGCCAGGGTCAGACCGCTTCCTTGTGTGTCTCAGGTGATTTTGTGACTCAGCAGCTGTAATTTCAAACAAGTAACCAGAGAACTTTCAAAAATAAAAGCGTTCAAGAGAAATCATCAACGCTTCTAACTTTGAGTCCCTGATTATAATTGTTTTGTTATTCATGTTTTTTTTCCCTCTCATTGTGAGCTGCCATTTACATTTTACAGACTCATTGTTTGAGGTATTTAAGGTGTTTGGAGTATAACTGTCTACTTATTAGTCGCCTGAATTAAGAACAGTATTGTATATTCTGGATGAGTGTATAAGAAGAACATAATTTGAACAAAACAGAATTTGTAGTTCAACAGTCTCAAACTAGTTTTAGTGAAATGCCCAAGCAGAGGCTATTTCAGCAAAAACAAAAGCCAAGGCATGTGCTGATCCGTTTTGTGTCAGCTTGACACAAGCTAGAGTCATTTGAGGGGAGGGAACCTCTACTGAGAAAACACCTCCATAAGATCCAGCTGTAGGGAAATACAGAGCAACGGTTTTCAACCTGTGGGGATCTTTGTCTCTTTGGGGGTATGTCAGATATCATGTATATCAGATATTTATATTATGACTCATAATAGTAGCAAAATTACAGTTATGAGGTAGCAACAAAATAATCTATGGTTGGGGGTCATCACAACATGAACAATATTAAAAGGTCACAGCATTAGGAGGGAGAGAACCACTGCTGTAAAGCATTTTCTTATTAGTGACTGATGGGGAGTCCAGCCCATTGTGTGTGGTGCCATCCCTGGGCTGGTGGTTCTGGGCTCTATAAGAAAGCAGGCTGAGCAGGCATGGGAACAAACCAGTAAGCAGCACCCTCCATGGCCTCTGCATCTGCTCCTGCCTCCAGGTTCCTGCCCTGTCTGAGTTCCTGTCCTGACTTCTATGATGGACAGTGCTCTGGAAGTGTGAGCCAAATAAACCCTTTTCTCCACCACTTGCTTTTGGTTATGGTGTTTATCACAACCATAGTAACCCGAACCAAGACAAGACTTTTGGTTGAAATAGATAGTATCTTTTTTTTTTTTTTGTAACAGCCTAGACTTCACTATATAGACCAGGCTAACCTTGAACATACAGAGATCAGCCTGTCTTTGCCTCCAGAGTGCTGGAGTGTGCACTACCATGCCCAGCAGTAACATTTTTTTAAACGAAGTTTATTTTTTAGTTACTTTTATCATATAGATTTTCCTGTCCTTATTGTTGTTAAATTTATACTATAAATTTTACATGATAAACTTATAAAACAAAATTTAAAAAGTACTTTAACAGATCTTAACGCTGTTAGTGACTTATCAGAATTTAGAGAAATACAGACCCTCTGGCCTAGCAGACTTTAAGTTGAAAAGAATGTCTAGCAACAGAAAACTAATTTCTTTATACCAAAGGATCTAGAACAGAAGTCTCAAAACACGTCAGACAGAATCATCTTCACCACCTATTTCTTTTAGTTCCGTAGTGCTGGATGGAACTCAGGCCTCCAAGCCAGCTGGGCAATTGTCTGACCACTGAGCTACACACCCCTCCATCCATCATTTTTTTTTTTTTCCCGAGACAGGGTTTCTCTGTGTACTTTTGGAGCCTGTCCTGGAACTCACCTGCCTCTGACTCCCGAGTGCAGAGGAAAGGTGTGCACCACCACCACCTGGCCATCGTTCTTTTAGCAACTTAAGTACCTCCACACTGCTCAAGGTTCTGAGATGACGGAAGTAAACTAAGGGATGGACATTTCGCCCACAGGGAGTTTCT